ATGAATTCTAGATAGGGCAGAGGGGTGGGAGGGAAAGGGAGGGGACAGGGGATTAGCAAAGATGGTAGAATGTGATAGACATCATTATCCAAAGTACATATATGAAGACACGAATTGGTGACAACATACTTTATATACAACCAGAGATATGAAAAATTGTGCTGTATACGTGTAATAAGAATTGTAATGCATTCCAATGTCATGTATTTTTTAAAAAATCAATTTAAAAAAAACACACACACCTTCACGTGTACACACAAATGCTAAGGCATACACATGTACACGTATGCACACACGACCTGGACACACACATACATACACATAAGTCTGCAGGCACACACATACACACATACAGAGACAACTGTGTGAATGAATCGGATCTCCCTGGGAAAAACAGTCACTTGGCCTGTCCCCAGATTCCAGACCACTGGGCATTGTGCCCAAGACTGCAAAAGAAAGAAAGGCACATGGCTTCAGAATAAAATTCTAGAAAAAAAAAAATGAACGATGCTTTACAAAGAGAAAAAACCAAAAGCATTTCTAATTTTATTTCTTCCTAAGATGACAGCAGGGAATTGTGAAAGCTGTGGATTGGCAAACCGCATCCTTAGCCAGGGGAGGACAAGGCTCTGCACAGCCAGGCTCGGGGGCTGTGGGCCCTGTAGGGCTGCAGATCCCTCCGGGAGGCTGGTCTGTCTTCTTGGGGTTTACTTCCTGAGGAAAGCACAGGCATCCAGGAGCTCTGTGGGACACAACAGAGCAGGAGATTCAAAAACTGATGGTTTAAATCAATTCTTTAAGTCAATAACCCAAGGAGGGCACTGGAAAGGTTTCCTCTGCCTTCTCCCACCCCCGTGAGTCAGTGCGGGCCTCTCCCACATTTTTCCCATCTCTTCTCTCAGCAACTGCTGTGTCCAGAGAACACAGGCATGTCTAGCCTTCACCAGCCAGGGCGTTCCCCTGCTCTGGCCTAAGGGACACTGCCACCCCTCCCTACTATCTCCAAGTGATCAGTTGTCACACTCTCAAGTTCACAAGGCGAGTAGTGGTCTTCTAAGTTCCAGAAAGTGAGCCATTAATGCAAATTTGTTTGCAACCACGTTCTTCTACCCACTCAATCATCCCTCTGCAAACACTTCCCGATCTCCCACTTTGCATGAGTCACCATGCTGAGAATGCCCCTGAGGTCAGCAGGAAGAGACAGCATCCCTCAAGGGCACACAGTCTCCACAATCCCCTGCTGACTGAAGCTGTAGTTATCAAAATGTGGTCCTCCTCAGCATCAAATGACCTGAAATGTGCCTCAGTCCTGGATGGGATTTCTCACCTTGACGCCATTGACATTTGGAGCCTGGTGATAACTCTCTGTTGTGGGCAGCTGTCCTGTGCATTCGTTAATAGCATCCCTGGACTCTACCCATCTGATACCAGCAGCATCTTCTAAATTGTGGTGATCAAAAATGTCTCCAGGCATTGCTAAATGTTCCCTCACAGGCAAATTTGTTCTGAGTTGAGAACAAGCCTCTGCCTCCCTGGGTGAGGGACCAGGAATACAAATCTGGTTGATCACCGTGCACAGAGGTGTCAAGCTAGCTGGAACTTGAGGATCATCACTGGAAGCCTTACAACACTCTGGAATATCTTCTAAATATTTTTAAAGGATTTGATTATGATCGGTACATTTCCCTGGTTAAGTTTCCCTACATTTGAATTTTTTTTTTTTTTTTTTTTTTTTGCTGGGGAGGGGTGCTGGGGATCGAACTCAGGGGCATTCAACCACTGAGCCACATCCCCAGCCCTATTTTGTATTTTAGTCAGAGAGAGGGTCTCACTGAGTTGCTTAGGGCCTCACCATTGCCCAGGTTGGCTTTGAACTTGCGATCCTCCTGCCTCAGCCACCAGAGCCATTGGGATTACGGGCATGCGCCACCACACCCGGCCCTACATTGGAATCTTTTGAGAATCTGCATTCTAAGACGCATTTTGACCCTAAAATCTTGACCTTTACCAGTGATGTTTTCTCAGTGATGCTCTCTCTAGGGTCCTCTTACCAGAGGTTGAGCATTGCTGCAGATTAGCAACGGCTGTGATGTACTGCTGTCCCAGATACTTCTCACTTGTTGTTCTGTCAGGAAGTTTAGCCAGACACTCAGTGTTGTCATTGAACAGAAGGTTTTTGGTATCAGACTTGAACAGGCAGAATTCTCCTGGGCACTTACTGCCTTTTCTTCCAAACTTAACCTGTGTCAAAAGGTCAGACAGTGAGTAGCCAAGGGAAACAGGAGAATGCATGAACTGGGAGGCTGTTTCTTCCATTCTCACACCACTTCTGATCTCACCTCCTGCCACATTTCCTCCCTTCTAAATTTGTGGCCTCTTTCCATAGACCTTCTTGCAGGTGACTAGGGGACAGCTGAGTATTTTTGAGGCCTGCCCTCCAAGAACTGATCACCTAGAAAATTCTAACATGTCAGCTTTCTCAGAGAATCAGTCTTTCCACCCACCAAGCAGTTGCCCCCAGGCAGGATACTCAGCCCTCCTTAGCTGCACACAGCCTCTTCTCCATACCCAGGATCAATGCCTTGGAAGCACCCCTGGAGTAATGATGTCGTGATATAAAAATAGAAGTTCTACTAGAGAATTTCAGATTTTCAGGAACTTTTAGGGTTTCTTTCAAATCACATTCACATTGATGGACCTACATCTATGGAGAAAGCTCTGAGTTTGTGGTCTCAGGGGACTTTGTCCAGAACATTATTCAGTGGCCCAGCCTCGGGAAACTGGCACAGTAACCACTCTCTGAGGGAAGAGGATGGTAATCGCCTCTTAGCCACGCAGGGAATGGGAGCCCAGGGGCACAGAGACTCGGGCAGAAGTCAAGTCGGTCCCAGGAAGCCCAGAGTCAGAAGCCTCCGTGGTTCTCCTTGAGACTCCCCATAGCTCAGAGCAAATGGTGCCCCCACCAACATCGAGTGGAGGGGCCAAGAAGGCTTGTGTGGGCTGATTCACCTGGCCCAGGGGTTACCCAACCTAACAGGAGCCCACAAAGTTAAGAGCAAGCCAGGGGCCCTGGTGGTCCATACCTGTTGATCCCGCAGCACCTCTACAAGGTGTGCTGCCTTATCTTTCCTAGATACCACGGCATGATTTGGGGCCACCGCCAGATGGCAACTCCGAGCCTCAGTCACAGGCTTCCGGGTGCCATCAAGGCACAGGAGCTCAAAGTCATCCAGCTTCAGGTCCTTAGCCCATGCCTCCGGGTTCTTTCCTGCCAAGACAAAAGAAGGTGGGATCAGTCACATCTGCCCTGCGTGGTCAAGGGGTCTTTCTGGGTGGATGTGACCCTCCCACTGACCTCTCAAAACATATTCACTGGGGTTGTGGTGCTGTGAGGGAGAGAGAGAAAAAAGCTTTGTTCTGGGCAGTGACTCAAACTTCAGACAACCAAACATTAGCATATAGTGGGACACTATTCAGCAATAAAAGGAAGCCAAGGTCACACACAGATAGGCCTCAAACACTTGATGCTGAGTGAAAGAAGACATCACAAAAGACCACAAGTCATGATTCCATTCGCATGAGTAAGCAGCGCCACAGAAGCACACAGTGGACAGTCACCTGTGCGGAAGGAGTGGGGAGGGGTGATGCTACTAGGAGTAGGTGGCCTTCATGGGGTTGTTCAAGTGCTCTTTGCTCTGTTGGTGGCTGTACAGCTCTGTGGGCTGGAGACCACTGAATGGCACACTTGGAATGGGAGAAACTTATAGTCTGCAAATTGTATCTCAATAAAGATATTAAAAATTTTTAAGTTTTTTTTAAGAAAACGCTCCACCTATACCATATTTTCCAGTGAATTCCAGAAAAGAAAAAAAAAACAGGTTGAGTATATTTTTTTTTAATCAAAAATATCTGGGATCAGAAGTGCTTTGGATTTGGAAATTTTTTTTTTAATTTTGTCATATTTGCTTATACAGAATGAGATATCTTAGGAGTAGAACCCAAATCAAAGCACAGATTTCTTTTATGTTTCATATACCCATGATGCCCATGAACTGAAGATAATGTCATACAGTGTTTCCAGTGTCTCTAGCCTGAATTTTGACTGTGAACCTATCACATGAGGTCAGGTGTGAAATTTTCTTCTGGGGGCGTCATGTCAGTATTCAAAAATCTTTGGGAGCATTTCAGATTTTTTAATTAGGTGTCTCAACCTATAGCTCATTTATATTCAAGAGGAACATTTCCTTTCCTTTTCAAATGCTTTAAGTGTAACCAGAGAAAGGATAGGAATTTCTAGGATTCTTGAAATTAAATTTTACATGGATCTGGTCCCTGGAGACCACTTTGATTGACTGCCATAGATCCTAAATGCAATTTCCCATGTGTCTGTGGGAGCATATCCGGGCTCACGTTCAGGCCCTGCTTGTCTGACTCTCCTGCCCTCCCACCTTAAGGAAACACCTCACCGTCCTCTAGATCTCACTATTTGATATTGACATCCTTCTGGACCCACAGGTCTGCCCCTAATCCCTTTCCAGGAGACAAGAGGAGAGGCAGGAAGAGAAGGGAGAAGTGGCTGACTGCAGGGCTCACTGAAGGAGGGAGGCAGAACTGGAGGCTGTTCTCAGGGAACAAAATAGCCAGCCATTGCTAAAGCTGAGGGGTGGGAGGCAGAGCAGGGCTGAAGAAGGGAGATGCTATTTGGAAGACAGCAAATAACTGAAGAAGCTTTTTTTTTTTTTCCACCTGGAGATCGGAAGAGTGATTGCTCCACCATCGGCTGGTGAATTACCTTTCTCATCTGCATCCACCTGTAATTTTTGTCCCCACTCTCTCCCAAGGAGCTTCCAGAACAAAGGCTCACATGAGGCTGAATGAGGCCTCTACTTCCTTTTTTACTCTATTTCTTATTTATTTGTTTTTGGTAGCAGGGATTGAACCCAGGGGTGTTTAATCACTGAGCCACACCCCCAGACCTTTTGATATCTTAGAGACAGGGCCTTGCTAAGTTTCTGAGACTGGCTTTGAACTTGTGGTGCTCCTGCCTCAGCCTCTCAAACCGTTGGGATTACAGGCATGCATCATTATGCCCGGACCTACTTCCTTTTTTTAAAAGGGAAATATTATTTTCCTATGTTCAGTTTTTAAAATCCACATCATCCGCACTCATAGGCATGTGTGATCTGGTCCAGGCAGATGGTGAGTTTCTTCAGCTTAGACAAAGCCAGGGAGACCTTTGCTACTGAGTATGGTGTGTGTGTGTGTGTGTGTGTGTGTGTGTGTGAGTGAATTCAGCTTCACAATCACTGTATCACCTACAGATGTGACCATGTTGCCAACTAAGGTCAAATTTTGGAATTCTTTCAGTCAGTCTGGGAATTGCTAGAAGGCCTCCTCACTGCAAAACCAAACACGGAGATGTGTTGTGATGCCAAAGACTCTGCTTTGGAAGAGGAAGGGAAATATCTTCACCTACCATCAGTGTTCTGCAAGACAGTGACATCTTTCAAAAATGCAACGTCTCCCGCTTTCTCAGCCAGGCACCTGAGAAGTTTCAAAAAAACAATACATTACAAGAGAAGAGAAACAGAATTTTTGTAAATATTTATACTATGCATGTCAAAAACGGGAACACGGAAGTAAACATGTAAAAGATGAAAATATTTCTGGGAGTTTATGGTTTAAGATGACAGATAGAACACATCTGTGTTCTCTCCCTTCCTCTAAAAGTCCCAATGAAATGACATTGATGAGATTTTGTTAAAACCCATTAAAAAAAGAGAGAGAAAGAGAAGATAATAATCCACTTCAGAAGTCAGACAGCAAATGGCTGAGCAGTTACTGACCTAACAGAGCCAAGAAAGCTGTACTATAAGCTGGAAGGGGTTGAAACTCAGAAGAAAGCTAATGTGCACTGCAGAACCCCGGGGCAGGGTGGGGGGGCCGTGGCAGTTGGTGCTCTAGACATCACTGAAAGTGGCTGAGAAAGGAAGGCACCCCACACCCCATGCACCTCCTCCTTCACCCTGGCAGTTGGGTAAAGGTTTGTCCACTGGGAGGTTGAACCTAAAGAGTACTATAGTCTAGAGAATCAAACACAGCTGAAGGCAGACATGGAACACTGAAAACAAAGAGTGAAATGAAAAATTTATATTCTAGAAGATTAAGTCACAGCCCTTTTCCCCCACTCAGTTTGCAGAAGGCTGATTGTCGGGGCTGTGATTTCCCCCAAGAAGCAGATAGTAAATTTCTTTGTTCTGGGAAATCTGATCAACTCAAGAACAATAACCATAGAATCTGATAATTGGTTGCTCACAATGAAATGTCACAAACCAGTAACCCGACAGGAAGACCCGGTGCTTGCTGAGATTGGCAACTGATAGGAGCTAACAGTCAACACCAGAGCTTCCTTCTTTTTTTTTTTCCCCCAACTCTTAATATGGACAGTCAGAGGCCATCAAATATTTGAAGGAAAACCACAAGAAATGGAGATCAAAACAATTACACTCAAAGGATACAGAAACAATGTAGGGGAGATGATAAAGCTTTTTTTTAACTACAATTAATATTATTAAAGATATGAAAGAAAGAAATTCATAAAACAAGAATAGGAAGTTCTAAAAAAGAAGAGTCAGAATACAAAAAGAGTTCTTAGAAGGTAAAAAAAATAATCATCATCATAAAAATTCTTTTAAACCATATAAAACTAAACTGAGCAGATATCCCAGAAACTGTAAGACAAAGAAAAGATAATAAAATAAACAATAAGGAATCAGATGATAATCCAGAAAAAAAGTTTAAAGAGAAAACAGAAGGATGGAAATTGTCAAAGAAATAAGAATTTCCCCATACTAAAAAACTTGAGTTTCCAGATGAAATGGTGAACCAAGAACCCAATCTAATAAATTGGGAATAGACCCACATAAAGAAATAACAATCTGAAGTTTCAAAAAACTTGCCATAAAAAGTAGCTCAAAACATTTTCAAGAAGAAAGTCATATACAAAGAACCAGTAATCAAAAATGATACCTCATTTCTCAACAGCAACTCTAGAAATAATGACAGTGTACTAGTGGTTTTAAATTTTTAAATTTGTTATATTTTTCATTGTTTGTTCTTCCTGTGATACATTCCAGATAATTTTTTTTCATATCTTCCACCTTACTAACTTCCTTTTTAGCTATTTCCTGTTAAACTAATGGATCACATAGTTCATTTTTTTCTTTCATATTTATTTTTATATTTTTTTCCTTTTTAGAAGTTCTATTTATTCCTTTTAAAAAATACTTTTTTTCTGTTGAATTTTATATCTAGCATTTTTTTCTCTTATGTGTTCAGTTAATATTATTATAGTAACTTTTTACCATGTAATGCTCATTGCCATTGAAATAGAATTTTTAAGTAGATTTTGAGAATTAATCTGAGGATTCTGTCTTCCAGACTGGTTTCTAGAGAGACAATTAATCTGGAACCACTTATATATATTTATTTATTTATTTCTGGACCATCCAAGGAGGCAAAAGTTTGAATTGCAAATCCATGCAAGAATTGGTTCATGGCTTAAATTTTTCAGGAAATTTCCAGGCAACTTAAAATCCACTGAGAGTGGACATGGAAGCTTCTTCTGGTTCTCTCACCTTAAGGGTGTAAGGTAATTTCTTAGGGTCAAAATAATTTCTTAGGGTCCAAAATAAGGATAAAAGTGGTTCCACTTCACTCTCTGAATTCCTATTCCCTCCCTAGATTTTAGTCTGATAATTCCTTATTATTTTGTCAGTTATCTAGTGCTTTTAAGAATTTGTGTGTCTGAATGTAGATGTGTATGTGCTTAATCCAGCATTTTTGCTTGTTTTTAGGAGGCAAGTTTAATGAAAATATCCTAATGTTGCTATTTCTCAAATTCAGAAATCTTATCAAAATTCCTAGGGGAAAAAAATGTCCAACCTAGACCTAGTTACCCAAACTATAAATCAATTCAAAAATAGAATAAAAATGTCAGACAGGCAAATACTCAAAAAAATAGCAATTTCTATTCATCCTTAGTCAAGAAGCTGATGGGGGGTGTGCTCTGTTCCAATAAGACAAAGAGAGGTGATGATATAATATCCAGGAAACAGGCCATCTAACAAGAAACAACACAGAGCGAAGTCCCAGATGATGGCCAAGAGGATTCCTAAGACCACGCATGTAAAGGTGGCCTAAAGAACACCCAATCAGACTATGGCCGAAGGATAGAAGTCTGCAGGAGCAACATTTCCAAGTGTGGGATGAAAGCAAGACAGCACCCAGTGTGTGTACACTTTGTGCATGGGTAAGAGATTACATTACCGGCAGAGAATTTGAATTAGTGAATAAAGAAAGCTCAGAAAATTCAGCAAATAAGAAAGGGGACAATATGAACTCCAAAGTAAATTAAAACTTTGCCCAATAAGGGAAATATAGTCTTATCTCATATTTAATATGATAATAATGTTTTATTAGTCATAATAATATAATGAATATGACACAATCGTATTGGATGCTAATGGAGGTGAAGATGTGGAGTGGAAGAGGGATAGGGAGCCATGTGAGAGACTAGAAATAAAGAGCCAGCACTAATAGGGTGTTTGTTATAAATGCAAAGGTGAATAAGAAAGACCTTTGGTTCCAGCTTCCAATTATTTTGTTAAAAAATTCCCCCTGCAGCCTAGATTGTAAATAGAATTTGAATAAAAAACAAAGCAGTAAACATAGAAATACTAAAATGCAGACGATTCCAATGGAATAAGACTTTGCTACAGGTCCAGAAAAAGAAAAAAGGATCATATAATTCTGACGCAGTCTTATCAGACATGTGTCTATTCAATATTTTCTGAGTGGAATCCCATTACAACTTTTCCATTTGCAAAACCTTAGATCCTTAAAGATATTTTTGTACATTCCAAAAACATCTTTGTTTGTTTGATTTTTACAAATCGGAGTATTGCAATCCTTACAGCAAAAGTTACCGCATTCACATTAAAAGCTCAAAGGCTAGCGTTTGACCAATCTTTCTTAGACGCATGATGCCATCTGGTGGTGAGATGTACTCCAGGAGAATGGAGAAAGGGGCCAGAGAAAAGAGCCTTTTTACACCCTTTCAATAGCACCACTGTGAAACAATAAAACTATAACGTGGGCTGTGGATAGTTGTTATGACCACTCTAGGTTGACAACATGTGAATTCTGGAAGCTAATCTTTTGGTTGATTTCTCCCTTCACTACACTGCAATACTTTTTTCTTTTTGTCATTTCTAAGGCCAGTCACTAGAGACCTCAGAGAGGGCATGGGAAAGAGAATTCTCCCCCACAACGTTGAATTGTAGGAAGCACTTGAAGACCACACACTCAACCCGTTTGCTTTTTTGAGGATGAGGATACTGAGGTCTGCTGCAGTTGACTTTGGCTCAGAGCACAGGAAGGAGCATAGCAGAGCTGAGGTCAAACCCTGGTCCAACCTCCACTCTTGGAGGTTCTGGGTGTGATGGAGGGAGCCCTCACTAGAGCTGCCCATTTGATGCCCACAGGATGGCTCCTGGCTCTGCTGTGTCAGGCCACACCTGGACCCTTAGAACTGCAGTGACAATGTGTTGCAGGATGAGAGACCAGACCCTTCCTGGTGGAGCTCAGTCACAGACTCACCTGAAAGCCCCAGTGTAGCCATAGTATCTCTCGTTATTGTTTGGCTTACACTTATGCTCACCCTTCTCATCACCAATACACAGAGCACACAGATTGGATGCTGGGTCAGACCCAGGGGCACAGCTTTGACTGAAGAATTCACCTGAACAGAAGAAACAAGGGAAGTCAGTTCTTCCAACCTGAATCAACACAGCCTTTATCTAACAGGTGATGCCGCTTGGTTTTAGTTCAGCATATGGTCCAGGACAGAAAGAACACATTCACGGTCACAATAGGTGACATATTACCACCAACCAAGGACACACCAGAAATCAGAAAATCTCTAGACTATAGGACTGATAAGAAACCTGATCGAGGCTGGGGAAGAAAGTCATGACCACAGAGGGTCCCAGCATCACAGCCTTGAGCTGGGGACTCAGTAGATGACCATGATGGTGCCATAGCATAACCTGCTGACTGCCTACTCCAGAATCTGATTTTTCCTTTTAGTCAACAATAGAAATCCTGCTTTTCTCCTGGGCGTTGGACCCTTTGGTATAAAGACTAGAATTATCAGGTACCCTATGGCCGGTATGCTCACGTAGCAAGGTACTAGCCAGTGACACTTGAGCTGGCTTGTTGGGTGCCAGCTCCTTGGAAACATCGTAAGAAGGCAGTGACATGTGCTTTTGCCCCTTTTCCTTCCCTTTCTTTATCCTGAACCTGGACTTGAGAAGCAGAGACTGGACCTCCAGTTGTGATACGGGTCATGAAGTGACCTTGAGCATGGGAACCACAGATGGCAGAGTAGCCAGATGTTTGAAGCCAGGTTGCTGACCCTGTGTATCATTGCACTAGCTTTGGACAACGCACCTCTTGACTTCAATCATATGAGAGACATAAACTTCTGTCTTATTTAAGTGTCTGCTATTTGGAGGGGAGGATTCTGTTCCTTACAGCTGAACCTAATGTGAATTAACCCATGACGTGATTTAACCCAAGGAATGAGGAAATAAAGGTGGCAAGCCCTGCTCTATTGAGCACGTGTCACCCACTATCAGACTCCTGCAGCCCCTGCCACTGGAATAGCCATACTATGTGTCAGCCTCAGGAAAAGCTGGGAGCTTCCCACCACATCCTAGCTGCTGTCCTACAGCACAGGGGCCAACCTGGGGGGTTGGCACAAGGAGCCACAGCATGCACTTCTGGGAAGGGGCAGAGGCACATGAAGCTGCCCCCATCAGAATCAAAAACCCAGTGATAACACAGCCAGGACCCTGCTCCTTTAGGAGACGCCTACACAAGAGGTGAGCCATGGGGACAATGGGCCACCCACCTCTACATCACCGTGCCCACAGCAGACAGGGCATGGATTATGCCAACCAAAGTGAATGTGGGATGTGGGAGGCAGAGAAAACCCCAGAAGCAGGTTCCTTTGCAGGGTGGAGTAAGAATTCAGTTCTGTTTAAAAACAGAAACCCCCTTTTTTGGAGGCAGACAATTGCCTTCCCCCAAGATGGGAAGCCAGGGCCTGTGAGGAATTTAGATTTGGGTCTCCAAGAGGTTAAAAAAAAAAAAAAAAAACAATTGTACTTCTCATGATCTATGTACATTCTTATGGTGCAGAGGAAAAAAAATGATACTCCAGTCTTTTACCTTGGTGAGGTAGATGGCACCTGGAAAGAGGTGTGTGGGGAAGCTCCCTGAGCCTCCATGACTCCAGGAGGTGGCCCAGGGAGAACTCAATTATACCAAAAGTGACCTGTGGGCCGCAGTCTGTGAGTCCCCTACTCTGGTCCCTTCCCTGAGGTTTCACAGCACCAGCCCTTCAAGATGGCCCTCCCAGGACACCCTCAGGTCACCTTACCAAATTTACAGGAGCCTGTCTGGTTGAAGAGCAGCCCCATGGGAATGTTCCAGCCTGCGGTCCTGCCCACCGCGGTGTGGCAGGACTTCCTGCCTTTCAGAGAGTTCCAGGTGATGTCAGTGTCCGATTTCCTGACCGCCGCCACGGCGAGATACCCTTGCACAACAGACAACGGAAGAGCACATCTTAACCTCAGAGGCCGGGAGGGTCTGCAACCCAGGCCAACACAGGTCACGAGGCATCGCTGGGTAATGATTCCCCCAAATAACTAGCATTGTTAGGTAGCCCAAAATAAGCTGAAGACACTGCCTTATTGCAGGGGGAAGATTGATCTGGGCTCTGAAATGAAGTAGTCATAAAAAAAAAAAAAGCTGGGCGTGGTGACGCACACCTGTAATCCCAGCGGCTCGGGAAGCTGAGGCAGGAGAGTCTCGAACTCAAAGCCAGCCTCAGCAAAAGCAAGGCATTGAACAACTCAGTGGGACCCTGTCTCTAAATAAAATATAAATTAGGATTGGGGAGATGGCTCAGTGGTCAAGGGGCCTGAATTCAACCCCTAGTACCACCACCCCCCCAAAAAAATCTGATCCTGTAAGTGATTACAGGGGACTGTCCTCAACCAGCCACAACATTTCCCTGAGTTACAAACCTTCACATGTGGATCAATAAAGCAATAAGCCTTTAGACTGCAAGAATAGCCCCAACAGTAAATCATAAATCATAAATCACAACCCGCTATACGCATCACATGGGAACAGGGACTGCCACCAGATTAACTGGTTTATAGATGCAGGAGAGCATGTCTCCAAGGAGCTCCCTGTGCTGGGTCAAAACCAGCCCTGCACAGTGAGGGAGTTCACAAGGGCACCATCCTCTTCTGTTAGAGTGCACCTGACCTGCCGAGGACAAGAGTTGAGGCTTCTAAAGCTGAGCAAGCTCCAGCTCTAGTAGGCAGGTAGGGCTGGTGCACAGAGCACTGGGTGTGGCACAAGAGACTCTGGTTCAGAGCCAGAATCTGCCATGGTATACCCTCCAGCCGTGGAGAGAGGTGTCCCAATGAAACGGGTTGTTTGAACTAAACAAGCAAAGGAAAGACTGTGTGTCCTGTTAATTCTCTGGCCACTCAGGATTCTTTTCGATGAGAAGGGGGAGTAATACTGCACCTTCCACATGATCAGGTACCATAAGGGACTATATGAAAGTTCTCCACCAGACTGAAGGGCAATCTAAACATTAATTATAACCACTCCTCTATGAATTGTTTGTATCTCTAAATAATGGTTTCTATGGCCACGTCTCTGTGAATTTAATCAAGATCCTGCCATCCCCTCCTCTGACCCTGAAAGTGACTGATTCCAACTCACCTTCTGGTTGTCTGTTCATACAATCAGAGTCCTTGATTTCTGAGGATTCTAAAAGAATGAGGATGAACAACACATCATTTAGACATTCAGATATATTGAGAAGTCACAAACTTTTAAATCCCTGTGACAGGCATTGTGGCACATGCCTGTAATCCCAGTGGCTTGGGAGGCTGAGTCAGGAGGATCACAAGTTCAAAGCCAGCCTCAACAAAAGCAAGGTGCTAAGCAACTCAGTGAGATCCTGTCTCTAAATAAAATACAAAATAGGGCTGGGTGGGGCTCAGGGGTTGAGAGTCCCTAAATTCAATCCCTGGTATCCAAAAAAAATAATCCCCATAATATAGAATCAAATTTAAAAAAAAGATACTGTCTCAGTATTTCCGTGCAGCAGAAACGAATATTCGCTTCCACAAAAGACACAGATGCTGATGTTTATAGAGCACAAGTCACAATGGCCACCAACTGGAAATTACTTAAATGCCATCCACGGTGATATGGTTAAATAATTCCAGGGTAGAGTCACATAGTAGAATACTATGCAACAGTGAGAACAAAAGAAAATCTATAACTACACACTTACATGGATAAATATCACAAACACTGAGCAGGAGACCTCAGATATGCAACACTCTCTGTGCAACTATAGGAAGCTCTGATTGATGCTGTTTTAATTCAGGAGAATGAATACCTAGAAGGGGTAAGGGGGCTGGCGGCAGCAGGACACAACAGGCTTCTGCAACTTTCTGTGTCTTCACGGGGCGCCCGTGAGGTAGGGCCAGGGGAGGGGACGGTTTGTGAAATGTCATTAAGTTGTATGCTTCTGTGCACTTTTCTGTCTGTGCACAATACTTTATTTAAAAAAAAAAATTTTTTTAATTAAAAAGAGGAAACCAGGGGCTGGGGTTGTGGCTCAGCGGTAGATCACTCGCCTGGCACATGTGAGGCCCTGGGTTCGATTCTCAGTACCACATAAAATAAATAAATAAAATAAAGGTATTGTGTCCAACTACAACTTTTAAAAAATAAAAAAGAAGAAGAGGAAACCAGTATGGGCTTTGTCAATTCACAGTGCAATGAGCTTCTTGGGTAACGTGGCCCCTTTTGCTTATCCTTTCTCTGATTCTCCTTTTGAATGTAGCTGTCCATCTTGACTTCTCTGGACCCAGTGAGTGGAGTCACTCCAACCCACTCCCACCCCACTCCCACCCCACAGCCAAGAGGGGCCGTTAACTCCACTTACGATGGTTCTCTGCCAGGACAGGCAACAAACCACACTTGCCAGCAATGTAGATAAATCCTCCGTCCAGACTCATGGCATCAGCTTCTCCCTTCTGCAGAGGCAAAGCAGATAAACAGCCGTGAGCCTATTTCCCTTGTTGCTGTCTTCAGCCCTGAGGGAGGCCTTAGGCCAGATATTCCAGTGAAACAGGTTGTTTGAACTGAACCAAAGGAGGCATCATGGGCACTGTTCTCTACCAGCCCCACGTGCCTTTGTGCCGTTAATTCAGTTAGAAGAAAACAGGACACGTTGCACTAACCCTCTGTCCTCTGAGCAAAACACTTCCTGTATCCAAGTACTCCAGGGACTCTGTCCTTCACTCATGGAGATACAGATGGGAACAGCAGGGCCCCTCTGGTCCCAGCTCATTAGCACTACACTCAAAGTGCTACACATAACCAGGTGTGTGCCTGTTACGTGGTGCATGCCTGTAAACCCAGCATCTCGGGTGTCAGAGGCAGGAAGATCGCAAGTTCAAGGCCAGCCTCAGCAACTAGCAAGACAGGGTCCCAAAATAAATAGGGCTAGGAATGTGGCTCAGTGGGTTAAGCACCCCGGGTCCAGTTCCTAGTACCAAAAAGAAAGAAAAAAAGTGCAACACAGAAAAAAGGTGCCAAATAAAAGAACTAAAATCACTGGGGCTGAGGCTCATGTGAGGGCCTAGCACATGTGAGGCACTGGGCTTGATCCTCAGCACCACATAAAAATAAAAAAATAAATAGATAGATAGATAAATGTATTGTGTCCATCTACAACTAAAAGAATATTTTTTTAAAAAAAATCATTTAAAAAATTTTTTTAAATTAAAAAAAAAATTAACTTGGATGAGCCCATGCTCTTAACACAGGAACAGATTCACCAGGATTGTCAAGTTCTCTCTTTGACCCAGTAATAATATTTTATAACTAAATCGCAATGATTGGAGATGTGGGTGAAGCTTTCTATTCAAGAATTCTCATCACAGTATTATTGATAATAGCAAAGGGACCAAAAGGAATAGGGTCATGACAAAAATGAGCCCAGATAAAAGATATTCTGAAACACTGTTTAGAAAATGTTAACAAAGAGTAAGTGGGTTAGTGAAGACCCTCAAAAACTACATAACTGCTTCAATCCAGGGTCACCATGAATGTGTCCTTCAAGTTCATAGAAACCCTGGATGGAGAATTATCAAAACTTATCTTTGCTATCTGTATATGAGGCCACGGTTGGCTTGGGGGTTGTTTTTTTGTTTGTGTGTTTGTGAGTGTGTAGGTTTTTACATCACACCTTTCCATACTTTCCAAATTACCCACAATAATCCAAAATTGTTCTTACAATGAGAGAGGCGAAATCCCCACAATAACTGCTTTTTTAAACCTACAACCATGCCCCTTAGCACCACAGGTGTGGCCCCAAGGGCCCTCCCTGGCATCCCTTCCTTGAAGTGCCCTGTAGTGGCCTCTTGGGCATCAACTTTACCGTCAGCAGATGCCCATGGCCTTGGTGCTCTCAGGAGCACCCTGTGACACAGGCCACCTACCAAGATCAGGGAGATGCAGTCCTCTGTGGTGGGAGCCGAGGCGCAGGTCACTGTGCTGCCACTCACACCACTCCACGTGGTGCACTTGCGCTGCTCATCCGTGCCCACCGCACACCACACTACCTGCCGCTGCCGGGCTGCCGTATCTGCCTCCCCTGTCGAGAGGTGTGACAGCCTGTGAGCAGAGCTCCCAGCCTGCCAGGGACACCCGGGCACCACCTCCATCCCAACTCTGCCCTCCGCGGAGCAGGGTTCCTGCTCAGACCCTCCCTGGGGTGGGAGCCGCCTCCTCCTGGGGATGTGTGAGGCCACACAGCTGCTCTTGCTCCACCCCTCACCTCCCCAACCCCTGCTTCAGGCCCCAAGGAGCTCACTGTGTTTCTCATTTTCACGCCCTGGGAGAGCTTCCCTGGCTTCTAATCCATCCATCAATCTAGTGTAATGACATGCCCAATGTCTCCACCCCCTCCTCTCCAAAAGTTCCATGATACAGAAGCCAGTGTCCATCCCTCAAGATGACCCAGGGGACCTCCAGCCCCTGACCTCCCCCAAGGACCAGAGTCCCATCATGAACTCCATGCAGTACAGTCTCCCAGGTTTCCCAGGTTCCCACCCCTAACCCCCATAGAGGAAGAGCCACGGCTGGCTTCTCCCATAGCAGTGTCCCCAGCCAAGTTCAGAGTGTGGCATAAGCGGGTGTCCTCTGGAGCCATCCCTCAGGGGCCCTGGCTCTCTTGGTTCATGTTCCAATTTCTCACTTAATAGAAAGCAGAATGGCTTTCCTATCGGGGCTGGGGATCCTGATAGACACAGGGGCACGTGGAAGCGTTCATCCAGCGGCCAGGACATTCTTTAGGAGACACATCTCAAAATTGCCCTGACTTGGTCGACAAAAGACACCCACGCCGCATCAGAACTGCCAAGATGAAGACCTCAAGGTGGCAGAGAGAGGAAGAGCCAGGCCACTCCACCGCTGAGGCCACAGCCACCGCTCAGGGCCCACAGCAGCCACCCTCAGGGCCCAGCCAGGGCTCACTCACTTTCCCTCAGGTTCTTTATGGCCGTGAAGTAACCGTAGCCCAGGTACAGCCCAGCATCTATTTTCGGGGGGACCCTCAAGAACCCCAGGGCAGTGTCCTTGAACAGTAGATCCTTCTGCCCTTTGGGGGAGCCAAAGAGTTGGAATCTTGGAGATTTGTTTTTTCCAAAATTTTCCTAATTGAGGAAAAAGAGAATTACAGTATCAGCAATAAGTAAGGAGGAGACAACAACTCTAGGTTGACAACGAGTGTCGGGAACTTCGGGATGATTCTGAGAGTGGGGACCTCAGCTGACACCCTCCTGCAGAGGGATGTGCTATCCCAGAGACACAAGAGCAGCTACAGCTTTTTCTCTGCAGAGTTGCTGGGTCCTGGGATAGGCATTGCCCCCTCCTGCCTCCGTTGTGGCCCAAGATGCTGTCGGTTGGACATGCTAGAGGACGTTTCATAGTTTCCTCTGTCCAAGGCAGAGGCTGGGCAAGTGGTCCCATGAGTCAGTGAACTACGAGGCCACAGATGGGCTTCACAAGTAGCAGGTGAGGGAAGGAAGCTTCCTCCCCATTCCAAACCCAAGCAGGTGGGGAGGATGTGGGTGGGCCTACCTGGGCCTGGTGGAGGAACTCCCAGATGAGGTCCTCCTTGCCGTCCACGCTTCGGGCCACAACAGCATGAGAAGGAACTCGGGCCAGGTGGCACTCCTTGTACTGGTCCACTGGCTTCCGGGTGTTGTCTGGACAGAGCAGCTCATAGTTGTCCCTTTCTGCCTCGTCTGGCAAGTCCTCTGGTGGGGGAAGGGGAGAAATGGGAAGCAGCCTGGGTGAGCCAACTCTTCACCATCATGAGCCCTTGTCCCCATAGAAGGGAAGAGAGAGAATTGCTCCAAAGATAAGTCAGAAAGGTAAAGACAGCCCCCAGAGAGCCCAAAGGCCAAGGGAGGCGAATCCTCCTCCTTGATCATACTGGCTGCCCGCACTGCGGTTGGTCACAGCTGCTGCCGGGCCAGAACAGATCCCAGCTGTGCTGGGCAGTTGGGCCTCAAGAGGGTCCTCTCAGAGACAAGCCGGGGAAGCTGCCTTACCAGCATCACTGGAAAGAGTAAAAATGACAAAAAAAAAAAAAAAAAAAAAAAAAAAAAAAAAAAAAAAAAAAACTTTAGGCAGGAAGTACAGTTGACAGTTGATTCACTATGCACACTGGGGGCATTCACAGGAGGGAAAAGAATGCTCTTAGGAGTTCAGACAGATTTGGGAGCTGTTCATCTATATCCAATGAAAGCTGCTTCAGAATATACAGTGACAGAAACCTGCCCAAGTCATTTAATGAGATCCATGCAACCTTGATGTAACGTCAAAGGAAGGAAGGAAGAATTACAGACCTAGTTTATGAATTTAAACATAAAAAATATCCCAAAAAACACATTAGCTAACTCAATCTAACAGGTTTTTTTAATCAGTGTTAATGGGTCAGTATTAAGGTTGATCAATTGATTCTGTGGACAACAGTAGCCAACATCAACAAACAAAGCCAAAGTCACTCACCCCAGGAACTGAGTAAAGGACAGCCATGAGGTCATCTCAATTTTAACAGATGCAAAAAAAGTATATGTGGGCTCAACATCTACTTGTGATTTGTTTGAAGTTCAGGAGATTGGTAATTTAAAGAGGTTAGTAAAGTTCTTGAATTTGGCAAATGCTTTTAATCAAAATACATACAGCAAAATTATATTTTTTTAAAAAAAGAAAATTGCTGGGCATTGTTGTGCACACCTATAATCCCAGGGACTCAGGAGGCTGAGGCAAGAGGATCACAAGTTCAAGGCCAGGCTCAGCAATTTAGTGAGACTATAAGCAATTTAGCAAGTCCCTATCACTAAATTAAGTATAACATGGGCTAGGCCTGTGGCTCAGTGGTTAAGCATACTTAGGAGGAAGAGGAAGAGGCGGAAGAGGAGAAGAAGAAGAAAATTTAGGGCAAGAGAGTTCAGAAGGAAAACAAGTTACAATATCAATGCACAAAAATCAAGTGTTATTAGCAATAACCCAACAGAAAATAACATGAAACATTATATTACCAACTGGCAATTAGACTAAAAATTGTATGACACAGTGAGAAAAAATTTACACTCTATCAAAGGATAGAAAAAGAGATGTGGGGGGATTTGACATCACCATAGATCAGACACCTCAGCATTATAGATAAGTCCATTTTTCATGGATCAAATTAAATTCTAGATAACCCCAATCAAAACAAAGTATAATTTTTAAAGAAATTTATAAATATCTCAAAAATTTTAACTAGGAAAAATTGAAAAAGAGAGTAAGGTTATTGGGGCAGGGGAGTCCCTTTTTCTACCAGGTAGTGAGACCTTCTGCAAGTCAGGGAAATAGGAACATATGAACGCACCAATACAATGAAATAGCTCAGAAACAGATCCAGGTGGATGTACACAAATCTAATGTAGAATTGGCTCCTCACACCAGCCGGGAAAAGTTGGAAATTTTTTTTATAGTTGTTGCTATATAGGGGAAATCATCTCATTCATAAAGAGGGAAAAGCTAAGCTAAATTCATGCCCGATTTCCTAGGTGGGTTACATGTAGACAAACATGTGCATGGGGTGGGGGAATCTTTAATCTTATTATGGGAAATTTTTGTGATTTTTTAGGATGAAGATGGCATCTTCAGAAGGCCCTAAAACCGCAGATCAACAAGGCAAAACTGGGATTTGAGCCTGTCAATATGAAAGACTTCCATTCCTCAGAGAGCACTATGGACAGATTTTTTTTAATGTTTTTTTTTTTTTTTTTAGTTGTAGATGGACACAATACCTTTAATTTATTTATTTGGGTTTTTTTTTTTATGTAGTGCTGAGAATCGAACCTAGTACCTCACATGTTCGAGGCAAGCGCTCTACCGCTGAGCCACAACCCCAGCCCAATATTGGCAGATTTTTGAGAAAAGATCTTCCTAAACTCTAAAATCAACAGTGGTTTGATAACTAAATAGAAGGCCTCCTACGTGTGACTTGAAGTCATGAAGAAAGAAGGCATGAAACTCAACAGGAAATATCAAAGTTTACAAAGTAAGAAAGGGAAGCTCAAATTACCAGCAAATATGTTGAGACAATCAACTCACAGGATGTCAGAGAAGTTCAAATGAAACCAACAATGGGATTGCTTTACAACCTTCATTTGAACAACAAATATATATGTATGGGAAAAACAAACTTGAAATTGTGGGGAAATGAGGATATTTGCAGAGGGTTGTTGAGAACACAAATCCTGATAGATCCTGAAAGTCCATCCAGGTGGGCCAGGGTGAATGTGATGGGTGTCTGTAGTGGTTCTGGGGAATGAAGTGGCCTGTCCCTGTTAGTCCTCAGTAGAGTGATCAACCTGTTTGTACCCAGAAATTATGCTTCACTGTGGGACAGTAAGAGGTCAGACATGTAGCTGTGTGTGCCAGAGAAGAGACACACTCCCTATCTGTCCTTCGCTAGGGTGACAGAGAGGTAAAATCTAGTGGGTGTGCTCCAGGGCACATTCCTTAACTGTTAGAACCACATCCATGCTAAAACATGGATACATCTCTAAACCCAAATGCTGAGTAGGAAACCTCAGGGGCAGCTTGATTTCTAACACTCAGTAACTCATGTTACTTCAAGTATGAACTTGAACCCAGAGACACAAACCAGCACCGTCTATTTTGCAAAACCAGGTTCATCCTGGAGGACACACGTCAAACACTTTGGCGTGGGCTTCTGGGAGGGAAAGAGAAAGAGGGGGGCATGGGAGATTGAAAGAACACTGATGGTTTAAAATATGGAAGAACATAAAATAAGAGCTGTGCCCATAGGGAAACCTGATACAGTGCGCCACGCATTAAGGAATCTAATTAGCTGAACAGTCAGAATTATGAAATAAGATAAAAGGGGGAGAGCCCTGGCTCTTACCAAACACCGTACTCTCTTTGGCAAAAGCCACATCTCCGGCTCCATCTCTCAGACACCTGTGAAATGAAAAAGCACCAGAGGATGAGCCCCGGGGTGCCCTTCCCTGCCACCCTTTCCTCCCTGGCCTTGGCTTCTAAGGACCTCTGCTTCAAAGGGAACAGGGCTCTGGGGCCCCCTCCAGGTAGCTTCTCAAAAAGGGCTCCAGTGCCCACCAGAGTCCCCTACCTTCTTCTCTGAGGGCTAAAAGGGTGTAACTGCCTTTTTCTATGTAAAAGAGTTTCGCAGCTTCTACCCTCAAGGGTAAAAGCTTGGTGACCCTGGCCAGGTGTCTCTTTCTCTCAGGACTGAGTGTGCAAACATGTCCTGGCCAGTGGGGAGCCAGGGAATCGCTTTCTGCAGATACTCCTGAGCCCCAGGAGATGACTGGGGAAGGGGCAGCTCAGCCCTGGCAGGGGCACAGGGGGAGGCAGGCCCAGATCCGGCAGAGCTCACTCCCTTCCACATTGGGGAGAGGCTGGGCAGGGCAGAATGGCATCAGCCTGGATACAGTGGCCATCCTGCCCAGCTGGGAGCCTGAGCCTGGACATCTCACAGTAAGACTCCACCATGGTTAGGGGAGGGGTCAGCAGCCAGCAGGAGAACCCAGGTCAACAGAAGAGCTCGTCAGATCTGGGCTGCTCTGGAAAGCTGGGAGGACCACAGCTGGGGCAAATTCCTTTCCGGCTGGTGTAGAGGTGGGAGCCTAGCTGGGGCTCTGGGGCTGGAGAAGAACATGCACTGGGCGAGGTCAGGTCCTCTCTGGGCTCAGGTTCTCTGTCTCCTCTATGGTCCCTGCCAGCAGGCTGAGCCCTATTGGGCCCATGGAAGGCGTCCTGGCCCGATGCTGGGTGGCCCATGGGCCACTGGGAAGAAGACAACATCACTCACTTGAAGGCACCCGAGTAGCCAAAGTACGGTTCCTGGGAGGAGGCAGCACATTTATTTTCCCCTGTTCCCACACACAGGCTACACAAGTTGGGAAACCGTACTCCGTCCACACCAGGAACACAGCTGCCTGAGAAAAACCTGGCCACCGCTGTAGAACAAAGAGAAGTAGACCACAGATGTAAGCCAGCCCTGGCCACAGCACTCACACCTCCCCGCGGTGTCCCCAGGGCCCTTTCCTCCACCCTGCAGGACAGACAGCCTGGGGCACCGGGTCAGGAGCCCAGGGAGGTACACCTTTGCAGACCCCATGCTCAGCTGCCACCTCCCAAGAGCTATGGGGTGGTTGGGCCTTGCCAGTGCCTGGCACCAGCAGTTAACCCCCACACACACACACACCTTGATTCCACCCTACACCGTCACCTATGTGATCCCAAAGGGGCCTGTCTGTGTAACTAGCTGGAGGAGACACCTCTGCTTGAGATCAGCCAGGATCCCCAAGCCAACTTACCTGCCTCCAGGGGCTCAGGGGGCCCCACCCAGTTTAAGAATGGACGAAGTATCCCTATGGGGACGTTCCAGCCCGCGGTCCTGCCAAGGCCTGTGTGGCAGGACCTCCGGCCTTGTAACTGATTCAGCTGGAAGCCAGTGCCCTTCTTCACAATGGCCACGGCATAATAGTAGGTTCGCGGTTCTGAAAAGGGGCAGAGAATGGAAAGGTCTTAGTCTAGACCAGAGGGAGAAAAACGACCCCCAACCACCACCATCAAGCCTCTGTGGGGAGCCAGACACGTTTCCCCCTCCCCTGTCTGCAACAGCCTTCATCCAGCCCAAAAGCCTAGAGATGCTGTTTCCTGAAGTGCAGAGCCAAGCAGGACCCCACCTCTGCCTGCTGTCCTGCTCTGACTCCACAGAGCCCAGGCTAAAGCCACAGGCCCCCTGGGGACAACTCACTTGTTTCCGTCCCATAGACTTCTGCTACTACAGGTCGCAGTTTGTAGGGGTCCTGGCCGGCCTCAAACACCAAACCACCATCGAGGGTTACAGCATCTGCCTTATTTTTCTAAAAGAAAAGACACCAGATCAGCTCAGGAGAAAACCCAGCCAAAGTGGGGCAAGTGGGGAATCTCAGGACTTCAGAAAGGCTCCATGGCAGAAGAGTCTTCAAAGAGGGTGTCATGTCCACATGTCCTGTAAGAGATGGCATGAGTCAAGAGTCCCTCTCTCTGGGCAGTGAGTACCACCCAAGCCCTTTAGCTCCAGGGGGTTGGCTTATGCCCACTTCTTTAGGTACCTGCCCACCTGTATCATCACTCCCTCGTTTAAACTCTGTTCGCCCTAGATGCTTCCTCTAGATGCTTCATATTTCTTTCTTTTACATTCTTTATTAAACAGAAAATGTAACTACGACAATATCTTAAGATGACTGTAATCAGCCACATTCTTCCTTCTTGACACAGCTCACCTGTTTCACCTGGTTGCCTTGTGGTTCCAATCACATTTTGTGGCCCGCTTTGGTCATCTGAAACTGCGTGCATTTTCTACTTCTGCAGAGTTTTGTGGATTTTATTGGCTGTATAATATTGTATGATAATGTGGATGTTCCCAAATTTATTAAGGATTTCCCCCAATTATTGGACTATTTCTAATTTTTGACTGTAAAACTATTTTATATGAATATTTTGCCCTCAGCTTTTTCCTTCTGTTGACATGTGTCCTTGGGATAGTCACAGCAGGGTGGAAGTCACCATGGCAGTGAGCGCATTTCTCTTTATGGCCCTGGATGCTGCTGCCATTCAGTCTTCCAGAAGATCCATAATGCCCTGTGAGGACCAGGGGGCACTGTAGAATCACCAGCAGGACCAGAGGTCAGTCTACAAACTGTTCTTACTTTAGAAAATCCAAGTGCTAACAAATCACCTAGGTCTGATTAGTAAGGGACACATGTTGCAACTGATGCTCTGCTCATGCATTTTTCTAGAGGCTTCTCTTTCCTATCAGTTTGAATTGGTTCTTTATCAAGTGTGAATAGTAACCATTTGTCAGAGCCAGTGTATATGCATTCACTCTGGTGCTTTCTAAGATTTTGCTTAAATGCTTTTATCGGCTATGAATTATTTTTTTTTTGTATTTTATAATGTCAGTTTCTTTCATGATTTATTCCAGAGTTCAAAAGCTAAAAAATTTCTATTCTCCCTGTAGTTCTGCTAGGTTAATCTGTCCCGTAGCATTTCAATAATATGTTTTATTTTTAACCATTTAATCTATCTCAACAGCATTTGGATGAATGGTATGTTGTACTGATTTCAAATGGGGCTCTTATTAAAAGGGAAGACTTTGTGCCCCCCCTCACAGATGTTTAGATATTAAAATAAAAGACCTAGGAATCTTCATTTTAAATAAGCAGGGGGCCTCAGTGCTGTTCATCTACAAAGTGTCAAAAAATCACCTAATACATTCATCCAAAGAGATTTTTCCCCTCCAAGAATTCTAATAACTATTATATTTACAAAATAATCCTACACTAGTTATGTCCACTCTGTGCTGGAGTCACACATACATGGCTCTAGCACCCAGCTGGCACACAGAGCATTATCTATTGAATGAGTGAGTCAAAGTTATTTTGGCTTAAAAATTACTATATTTCAACAAACAAAAAGAATCAAAAACCATGCACCATTCGTGATATCCTTTTCTCTCTCTCTGTCTCTGGATCTGTCTTGGGAAAATACCTTTCTCATGCCCAGTGCCCTGGCAGGCCCTTGTCCCAGCAATGTGATGTGGCACTTACATGTGACCTTGACAGGTTTATTTCTCAAGGGCTTAACCTTGACTTTTGTCCATGTTACATATTCATCAAATAGAACTGCTCATGCTTCACTGTTGAAGAGCTGTTAACCACGTATGTTGAGACCTCAGTTACCCCACACGTGGCCTCTCAATACTAGATTCTTTCTCAGAGGCTCCTATATTAACCCAAACTGCTCCCAACCTACAAGTGTCTGAGAGGTAAAGCAGAAGAAACAGGGCAAGCACATTTTTCTATCACATTCCATTCCTTGCCCTTGCTGTTCCCTCCCTCCAGGTTGGTCCCACCCAACCCATAGCATTGACTCACAGCAATGGCCTGGATACACTGAAGGTAGGAGTTCTTCTTGACACAGGATAAAGGTGGGGCACGCACTCTTCTCATATTCCTCTGCAACTGAGAGCATTTGGTTGCCTCGGGTGGTGATGTGGTGCACCATCGAACGCTGCCTTTCCTAGGGGCAGCCAAACACACTCCTGGGAGAAAGAGGCCGAGGTATTAGGGCACCACCAATGTCTATGGAGGTGACCACATCACCCTCTGATGGAATCTTCCAGACTCTGAACTCTCAGCAGCTCCATATCCTTTTGCAACCATGGCTAGGTCCAGCTGTTCTCCTCAAGAGGAGACACCTTGCTGGACTAACAGAAATTCTGCCCTGGCCAGAAGTCTGTGATTCTCAATAAATTAAAAGCAATAGAACCTTTTCCTTCCTATGACTTTGACATGTTTGCTATCTCTGAAAACATGATAACAATCCATCCCTCAAATCAGTTTATGGATCTTTCTAGCTGCTTTGTCCCATTTGAACCTGGGTCTTGGGCAGGAAAGAGACCATTATACATGTTTACAGATATAGAAACTGTTCTTAAGGAGACTGATTGTTGTGTCTATAAGTATCTCCCCCAGAAGATGCTAAGTGAACAAGGGAAAATACATCTGAATCTATGCATAATCACAGTGAACGGTGGTTCAACATGCAGGGCCAAATGGGTCACCAAGCCTGTGTTGTTGCCATTTACCTCTGTGCAAAAAGACTGACTTTCCTTCAAGTCTACCTTTGGTGCTATAGCCTAGAATTAGGGAAGAGGCTAGATCAGACTTGCTTATCTGGTTTCCTGAAAAAGACATCTATGAAAAACCAATGATGAATATCATGCTAAAATAGTGAAAAGCCAAATGCTTTCTACCTGAGATCAGGAACAATGCAAGGGAATCAGGAACAACACTAGAGGTCCTTGTCACAGTAATAAGGCAAGAAAAAGAAATGCAAGCCATCAGAATTAGAAAGGTACAAGTAAAACAGTTTTATTTGCAGTTGACATGAGCCTCTGCAGAGAAAATCCTAAAGAATCAACAAAATACTATAACTAGTAATTACAGCAAGGTCAAGGGACAACATTTTAACATACAAAAATCAATAACATTTTGCATCCATGCACTGAAAAATCTAAAAATAAAATTAAGACTATAAGCTGGGCATGGTAGCACACGTCCTTAATCTCAGTGGCTTGGGAGGCTAAGGCAGGAAGATCGGGAGTTCAAAGCAAGCCTCAACAATTTAGCAAGATCCTAAGCAACTCAGCAAGACCCAGTCTCTAAATAAAATACAAAAAAAGGGCTGGGCATGTGGCTCTATGGTTGAGTACCCTGGGTTCAATCCCCAGTGCCAAAAAAAATTTTTTTAAATAAATAAATATTATATATAGTTTTATTTATAATAACATCAAAAATCAAATACTTAATGGATAAAAGATTACAGACATTTCAGCAAAGAAAATATATGAATGGCTAATAAGCACATGAAAAGATGTTCAACATTATTGGTCATTAGTAAAATACAAAATTTTTAAATGTAATATTTCACATCCACTAGAATGGTTATAATGGCTAAAATAGACAATTTTTGCACATGTTGGCAAGGTTGTGGAGAAACAGAAACCCTCATGCATTGCTAAAAGTGAAAAATGGTGCAGCCAGTGTGGAAAATGGGTTGGGAAGTTTCTCAAAATGTTAATCATGGAGTAACCATATGACCCTATAGTTGTACTTGAAGGTGTATACCCAGTGGGGGGGGTGGGGAAAGAAAGAACGTCTGCATGAAGATTCACACATTAGTATTCACAGCAGCATTATTCAGAATAGCAAAAACATGCCAGGAAAGATGGCTCCCACCTATAATCCCAGTGACTCAGGATGCTAAAGCAGGAGGATAGTGAGTTCAAGGCCAGCCTTAACAACTAAGTGAGAAACTGACTTAAAATTAAAAAGGGCTGGGAAATATGGAAAGCAGTATAGAGATTCCTTGGAAAACTTGAAATGGAACCACCATTTGACCCAGGTATCCCTCTCCTCAGTCTATACCCAAAGGACTTAAAAACAGCATACTACAGGGACACAGTCACATTAATGTTTATAGCAACACAATTCACAATGGCTGAATTGTGGAACCAACCTAGATGCCTTTCAGTAGATGAATGTATTTTTTAAATGTGGCATATATACACAATGGAATATTACTCATCAATAAAAGAGAATAAAATCATGGCATTTGTAGGTAAATGGATGACATTGGAGAAGATAATGCTAAGTGAAGTTAGCCAATCCCAAAAAAACAAATGGAGAATATTTTCTCTGATATAAGATGACTGACTCATAGTGGGGTAGGGAAAAGGAGCATGGGAGGAATTGATGAACTCTAGATAGGGCAGAGGAGTGGGAGTGGAAGGGAGTGGGTAGGGGGTTAGCAATGATGGAGGAATGTGATGGACATCATTATCCAAAGTGCATATATGAAGACATGAATTGGTGTCAACATACTTTATATACAAACAGAGATATGAAAAATTGTGTTCTATATGTGTAATAAGAATTGTGATGCATGCCGCTGTCATGTATTTAAAAAAATATCAATCAATCAATCAATCAATCAATCAATAAAAAACGTCTGGGGATGTAGTACAGTAGTAGAGTATCATCAGGTTCAATCTGCAGTACCCCCACCCCCAAAAAATAGAATAGCAAAAACATAGGGAAAAAAACTATACATTCAGCAATGGGTGAATGGCTAGACATTGTAGTACATATATGTAATGAAATATTATTCAACAATCAAAAGGAAGAACTACCAATAGGTACTACAACATGAATGAGCCTCATTTATGCTGAGACCACTTGCATGAGACATCCAGAAAAGGTAAATTTAAAGATAGGAAGTGGATTAGTAGTTGCCTGATATGGAGTGGGAATGGGAATTATCTGTACATGGATTTGAAGGATTCTTATTGGGGAAAACAAATGAAAATGTTTTAAATTAAGAGATTTATGGTGATGACTGTACCATTCAGTAAAGTTACCAAAAATCATTGAATTGTACCCAAAACAGTTTTAATGATGAACTCAATGATGTATAAAGTACACTCAGGAAAGCAAACGTGATTCCAAGAGCCCTCTTCTCCTTTGGTTATGCTCTGGGGTGACTATTCTGCCCTCTGGCGCCCCCTATTTCTGAGCCATCCCCTCACCTCACAGTCAGACCCACCCAAGGCCCTTGAGGAACTCTGGGATCTGGGGCAGGAGACCTGCAGCTCCCAAGCCCACTCAGCAGGGGCACCAGGTGGCACACTCCTCCACCACCACCGTCCCTGGGAAATCCCAGAGGAGGCCACCTAGCCCTGGAAACTCCACAGAACTGTTCTGCAGGGAGAACTGACCCAATCCAATTCAGCTATTTGTGACTCAATGAGTATTAACTGGATGTCTACTGTATACGCACCTCTCTGTGTCACACAGAGGAAAAGGTAAATAGACAGAACTGCACCTCCCCTCTCACGGAAGAGGCAAAAGGCCCTTTTAATGAGGGACCCAAGTATGGCGAGTGTTCTAAAAATAATAATAATAATAATAACAACAACAAATACCAAATCACGAGGGCGGTCCTGAGGTCCAGCTAGTGATTAGACGGGGGGCACTGCAGGAAGCAAAAATGATGGGCGCATGCGCACAGCTAATGTCTCAAGTGTGTACGGTGGCAGGTGCTTACTCAGCGTTTCACACCCTCTCTCCCATTCATCCTCCCAGTTTCTCTGTACTGTGAGTTCTGCCAGCACCTTCTTCTCCAAGGGAGGCAACTGAGGCTGAAGTTATGGGGCAGGAGTTACTCACCCGTGGCTCACAGGAGGGCCCAGGCACACTGCTGGGCCAGATGGGAATCTTCATTGGCTCCTTCTAACCCATGACTCCAGGGGCTCCCCACTCGCTGTTCCCACAGCTTGCATCCAGCTTGGATCCACCCCACCAGAACCCTGCCAGCCTCAACACACAGCCCTGGAGAGCAGAGCAGGAATCCCACAGAGCAGCTGCCACCTCCTCTTCCTTGAAGAGGAGGATTTCAATGGCGCTTTAGAGTGCAGGCCACCAGCCCACTGGTTATATCATTTAAACTACAGACCTCTCTGTAGGAGCCAAGAGAGCCAAAAATCCAAATAAAAATGGAGCCCAGTGCTGCAACACTGAGCCGGAGTCCTGGACCATCACCAGGCAAGCAAGTCCTCCCTCCTGCCCAGCCCCAGTACAGCATGGCGCACCGGAGGGAGCATGAGGGAAAGAGGACAGTTTGGTCCTGGCCAGACCCAATCTGCCTTAGAGAAGAGAGGGATGATCAATATCCACTGGCAGAAAGAGTCCAGAAGGACGGGGCACAGGGTGAGCTCACGCTCCCTGCATTTGGGGGTGCACCATCACCGTTGCCCGCTAACCAACACAACCCCCTTCCTATGCAGGAAGCTCCAGCCCCAAGCGGATGCTCTAAGTCAGGAGAAAGCAGGACACCTGGGCTTCCACTCCACCCCACCCACTGCCTAGGTCCTGATGCCTGATACAGCCCTTTCTGCTGCAGCTTCTGCCTCGGACCCTCCCCTCTGGCACTGCGAGAAGCCCCTCAGTTATAGCTTAAACCCCTGCTGAGTGCCCCCTAAAACGCCCCAGGAATATCTGCAATACCTGGCATAGAACATTTGTTTAGAGCCTTCTCTTTGGTCCCTTCTATTGTGCCTCTTCTATTCTGGGCCCATTTCAAGGGGGGAAATAAGTCATTTCCCCTCTCAAAGTGTCTCACACAAGGGGTTCATGAGGAGGTACTGCACTCCCTCTGCCCCCTCTGCCATGGGAGGTGAGCAGACACTTTAGCTTAGCTTTAGTACCTAGCTGCTTCCTCATAACCCTGGGGAAAAAAAATGGTTAAGTCGTTTTTGAAACGAAGAAAGAAAGGCTTAGAGAGGTTCTGTCTTGCCCAAGGTCACACAGTCCTTTCAGGAGCTAGGATCTAAACTCAGGTCTCCTGTGTGTCTTAAGTAAATTGCTCACCCTCTCTGAGCCTCACTTTCCTCCTGTATAAAAGGTGTGCAACAGTAGGATGGGTGCACACAAGAAGACAAAGTTCCCAGAAGAACATTGTGAATCTGGGATCTCTGATCAAGCCTACGGATACCCCATCCCAACTTCCAGGAGCAGGTGAGAGAACAGAGGGGATCGCACAACCCCAAGCTTAGGAGTATGAGCCCATCCTTGTGTCTCTGCCCTCTGCCACTTCTCCAAATCCTTCCCCAAAATATTGGACATCCTTATCTTTCCTAAGGCAGATTGGGCCTGTCCAGGACCAAACTGTCCCATGCAGGGACAGGCGGACCCCATCCCACAAGTCCGCAGCCTTCCTGGATGCAAGCGCAGAGATCCGCGCGCCCATCGCCAAAGCGCGCAGCGTCCCGGAGGCCCACAGTCCCGGCAGTGCGCGCCCCCGGGCACTCACCAAGGGCGCCAAGGAACAGCGGGGCGAGGAAGAGGAGCCTCATGTCTGCGGACCTAAGGCGACTTGGAGAACCAAGGCTCTGACTTCCTCGCTCTCCTGCGCCCCTTTATCCAGGCTTGGTGACCTCACCGGGTCCCGCCCTGTTGCCCAATAAGCTTCTCCTTTCCTCCCCACCAGGTTACCTGTTGCCAGAGGCGTCGGGCTCCTAAAGGAAAAGCGCTGGGGGGAGGAGGGGAGGAGCGGAACCTGGGCGACTCCACACAGCCAAAGGAGACCCAGCCCGCTCCCCCAGCCCGGGTTCTCCGGCCTCTGGCGATGTTCTTTCCCTCCCACTGCAAGTCCTGGGGAGTCACAGCTCTTGTGTCTCAGTGCCTTGTGGAGGGCGGGACACAGCAAGAGGACCTTTATTTGCGGAGCGACTTAAGACACCTGTGAGAGTGTCCAAAGTGACTGGGACCCAGTTAGCTGGCAGGTGGATTCGCTTCCACCCTGGCTCCAGCCCCAGTTTAGCAGTGCGCAGGGAAAGCTGACAGGGACAATAGAGACTGGGGCGACACAGGTTTCCGGCAGGTTCCCTCTCAACTCCCAGAATACAGAGCCAGGAACCCCCAGAGGAGAATGCCCACCACCCAATGCTGACTTCCCTGTCACATCATTGGCCAATGAGGAAGATGCCCTATGGCTTGAATTTCTTCCCTCCTCCTCTTCTTCTTCCCTTCTTTCTTTGCATTCTCATATTCTGTGTGTCTGTCCTTCTTTCTTTGCCTCTTTCTTCTTTGCTTTCTTCCTTTTTAGGTAATAGTGGTATGAGGGGTGAGATGGGAACCTCAATCTCATTTTCATCCATGTCAGATTTGGGGGTGAAGCCATTTTAACATTCAGAAGCTAGAATGCTGCTGGTAAATGCACCCATGTCGTACACAAGGGCTCAGCCCAAAAGTCTCCAGGGCACAGGTGCATGTCATTGATTAGAAGAAAACTAAATACGCCTTCTGGAGAGCATCACCTAAAGTGGAGTGCTCACGCATGAAGTGGAACACTGGGGGCCTTGTCAAGAACATGGCAACTCTGCACATACAGAGATCAGCAAGAGAAGAAGCCAGGTACTAACCCTGAGGGAAGTCATAGATCACTGGAGCAACTCTCTAGGCTAGATGGCTCTGTCTGGCCAATATGTGACTCTAAAATTTGCTTCTCCTGAAAGACAGGTCTTGACCTTGCTTTGACTTCTCGGTAGTAAAAGTGTTTCCTGGAGCAGAAGAGCCATATGCCAGGGAGCCGGCACTACACGGGAAGGTGTGCAGTAGGCACTCAGCCCGGAGAAACGGGTCCAGCCTGAGTCTGAGAGGCCATCCCTGGATGTGGATCCCACCAAGGCACGAGGGTGCTGTCTGATCAGGGGGTCCTGCTTGCCTGGTGCAAGAATGCGGTTTGGGGTTTGGTGCTAGAATGACCTGCTGGGGTTTGGGGTGATAGATCCAGGACCTCTCATTTGGAAACAAGATATCGCAACATTGAAAGTTTCTTTCATCGATAATTGCAATAAGTCATTTCAAAAAATGATGAAGAAATGCAAAATTGACTAACCCTCAGGAGTGCCGAAGCATCTTTTGTACCTGAATTAGCAACTAGGCCTTGCCTTTTCATATAAAAGTATTAAGAAACATTATAACCCAGGTTTCTCTCTGAGTACAAGTTAGGGGGAAAAAAAAGATGAGTTGGGAGGTCAGAAGCCCCTAGACGCTGGTCTGTATGTTACAGTGTTAGTGAGAACAGAGAAGCTGGAACCACAATCTAGAGGCTGAGCTGAGGGGTGCCTGGAGGCAGGACCAGTCAAGCAACAAGGTTGTCTGTTTCCCATTGGACCTGCTGTGCCAGCCCCAGGGCAGAGATGCTCTCCTGTAGATACAGGACAGAGCAGTCTCCAGCCTCTGAGGTCATATCCAAGAAGCTGATTAGAAGATGCGTCTGTAGAAAGACAATTGAGGGTCTTCTGGCCTGTTTTCAATACTCATTCATTCATTCGTTCATTCATTCCAGAAATGATGGGAGTCATCAGAGACACAGAGAAGAGGGGTCTGCCCTTGCCCTCAGGAGGTAGAAGCATGGGCTTCTGGCACACGGCCCAACCTGGGGAAAGGTGAGGCAGCATAAACCAAGCCAGGGTGGGATCCCAGAGGAGGATCAAGAGTTCTCCCACCATGAGAACTCCAGAAGAGTTTGAAAAAGACATTTGACCTGGGTACCTGAAAGGCAGGCAGGATTCCTACAGGTAGAGTATTCCAGATAGAATAAGCAACCCAATGAAGGCTTGAGAGCATGAGCCCAATTATCAATTATCTGAGGGACAACAAAATGTCACTCTGGATTTGCGGCCAGAAATTCTGGCATAAATGAAGCCCTCCTCCTCTACCCTGAGGGCAACATCTTATGTCCATATGCCTCTGGACAGCAACTTTTGAAGGTCCCTTGGATGCTTAATGCATCTGAAATGCAACTCATCTGTTCCCTTCAGCCTGGCATCTCTCATATCTTTCCACAAAGCCTGCCAGACAAAGGCCGCAAAGTCTTCCTCAAAAATCTTCACCCAGCAAGGAACTGTGGCTCGTACCTATAATCCTAGTGGCTCTGGAGGCTGAGGCAGGAAGATCACGAGTTCAAAGCCAGCCTCAGCAACTTAGCGAGGCACTAAGCAACTCTGAAAGACCCTGTCTCTAAATAAAAATAAAAAAGGGGTGGGGATGTGGCTTAGTGGTAGACAGTGGTAGAGCACCCCTGGGTTCAATCCCTTGTTCAAAAAAAAAAAAAAAAACTTCCACCAGCTAGTTCCCTGCATGCAGTAGACAGTTGATAATCACTATCAAAGGAATGAATGAATGAGGAGGATGTACCAGCTGAGAGAGGGACAAAAGTATTCTGTAGAGCCTGAAGAACAAAAAATGGCTGGGCTACTTAAGCCAGGCCACCCCAGAGCCTGTGGACATGGCCTTACTCACCAATCCATCAATTCACCTTCAGTGTGCCAGGAGGTGGGCCAGATTTGAAGAGCGTGAAGGCAAGTAGAGTGCAGGTAACCAAATGCTGGTGCAGTGGGATGAATATCTGGGATTGCCTGGTGGCTCAACCCAGCAGAGCCTGCAATCAGTCATGGTGGATGTATTCACACCATGGAAACCAGCAAATGACTCTTCCCATGAGAGGAGTTTGCCAGCACGCCACTCCCTGAGTTCATCATCATTAGGTGGCACGCGGTGCCCATGTTAAGTGTGGGTAAGTTCATATGTGCCTGGCTCTGCCATCCCTGGCAGAAAGAGAAGATTTTGTTTGGTGCTTGTATGGTGCTTTTAACTTCAAACAGAGCTGTCAGGAACCATTTCACATGACACTAACTGCAGCTTAAAGTTCCCATTCTAAAGACAGAGAGATGAGAGCTGCCTGTGGTCACATAGTGAATGGGACACAGGCAGAACTGACTTCCCTGAGTTTTCCATTAGGCCTTTCCTTCCATGGGGACTGATAACCCACAGCTCAGGATGCAGAGACCAAACCAAGACCCAGGAATAGACAGACACAGCCCTTGTGAATCCCAGAAGGAAAGAAACCAACAAGGACTGTACCCCTTCTGAGGACCAAGCACATCCAACCCCTTCCACACGTCTCTGCTGCTCTTGATCCTTGCAGAAGTACCCATCAGACAAGGGGATGCAGGCAACATGGCCTGTCTAAGGTCACACAGCGGGTGAAGGATGGAGAAATCCATCCAGTGACTCCTTGGGGCACTTGGTGCCTTGGTATTGATCATTTCTTTGCTGGTCATTTGAACAGAAGGGCAGAGACTGGACAAAAATGAGAGAGAAATGGAGAGCTCCCTATTCCTCTACCAACCCCAAGTCCTCAAGAGATCCCAATCATCTGCAGAGGACACCCCAGCCTGTGGCCCTGCATCATCAGTCCCTTGAGTAGATCCAAAGGCCCTTGGGTGTCTAGACATGTTTCTGTGGAGGATGGAGAGGTGGGGGACCACCATCAGGAGGAAGCTCAGCTGAAAGGCAATAGGCAGGAAAACACTGGTTTGTTAACCAACAGGCCTCATTGCCAAATGTCACCCGGTTTACAAACAAAGAGCTTCTGTCTTCTGGGCTCAGCCCTCTTGTTCCTGTTCCTGCTTCTCCTCCGCTTGCCCACTTCTCCTCATAATCGGGACCCCTCTATCCTCTGGGGTCTCTCTTCCCAGGGACCAATCTTCCTGGACCTGATTTAAAAATAAAAATTAAAAAACCTGCTAAGCCACTCCCCAGTGATGGAAACAGCTCAGGTCTCCATCCCTTCCCCAGTTCTGAGATTTCAATTCTCCTGGCTAGGGTAGCGCCCCGAATCCCTGACAGAAATCTGAACTGCGTGAGCACGTGACCACCACATCTGTTGGAATGAAGAATGTGGAGCAGGTCAGGTTCAGGGGAGTCTTCTGGGAAGGAAGTCACCATCCAAGGGCAGCCTGGAGGGTATCAATGGCTGGCTTAGGGCCAATCATGAAAACTTCTTCCCAGAAGGAATGAAGCCCTGGCCCAGGGAAAGCCCCAGCCAGGAAGGCCCAGTCCCCCTTTCTTGGGGCTGCACTCTGGCCAGGGAGAGGGAGGGCTCTGGGCCTGCTTTCTACACCCTGTGAGGACAAGGTCAGGAGGACCCTTCACTCAGGAGGCCGAGATGGACACAGAAAAGTCAGGAGCCTCGAGTTTCCTCCATTTCCCTGAGTGAAGCGCTGCTCCTCCATTCTCTGCGCCAAGACAGCTGCTACAATTTAGTTTTGCCTCCTTTGCATTTTATATAGAAGAAATCATACAATATGTGCCCTCTTGTATCTGATTTCTTTCCTTTACCACTATGTTTATGAGGTCATTCTATTTTTAATTGTCTAATTTTGATTTCATTTTGTCATAATTGCTACTATTAGAAATACAACCTGTTTTTTTTTGTATTATCCTTAGGTCTAGTAACCTTGTTCGGTTCACCTATAAAGTCTAATTACTTAGAAACTTCTATGAA